CTGCCCGACATGCGGGCGGCCGCCTCGCTGGACACGGTGAGCACCCCCGCCCCTGCCGAGCCACCCTCCCCACCGCCCGTGAGGGTGCAGGATGGTCAAGGGCACAGCGGCAGCGCTTCTGTTTGTTCTGGGCATGTGTACATATCATAATCCTCCCTCCCCACCCCCCATCAAGATAGAAAGCGAAACCAAGAGGAACTCTGAGTTCTGGGCGAGGGTGGGTGGAGATCTTCAACATCTCATCTTTCTTATTTGAGAAATGATCATTCTCGGCGATGGCTCAGCACCAAGGAGACAAAGACCTGTGCTCAACAGCAACAATAGTAGTTATATAGATATTTAATAGTTATATAGTTAGAGAATAGTAGGGGACAAAGCCGAGTAAGATAAAGACTGAGAACTGACCACTGGTGTGGCCAAATGGAGGTCACTGGTGACCTCGATGAGCACTTTCAGTGAGGCAGTGGGGTAAAAGCCTTACTGGCGAGGGTTTACGAGGGTCTGGCAGGTGAGGCATTGGAGACAGTGAGTGGACGTGACCAGCCCAAACCAAAGTATGGGAAACTCCGTGGATAAATGATCCAGTTTTTCTAGCAAATAAATAGCATTGAAAAGAGGAGGAAAGGAGACCGTTACAGATGAAAAGACCTGAGACCCAGCAGCCAAATGCAGTAGGGGGGCCTTCCTGGTGCCCTGATCCAAACAATCCCGGCTACAAGTGAGACACTTGGAGAAAGTTGGTGAAGGACTTTACGCGGTTGTTAATTCTGTTAGGTGCGAAAACGGCAGCGTGGGGTGTGAAACGAAAGCAGGTGTCTGAATGGAGACACGAAGCTGAATGTCTATGGGTGGAGTGGTAAATGGCTGGGATTGTATAAAAGTATCACAGGAAGAAAGGTGAGGGAGAGGACATAAGCATGCAGAACTTTGTCTGCAGGGCTGTCTACTCTGGGTAACGAGGGCTCACTACTTGGCGCCTCGGCTGCGGTGGGTTTGAAAATTTGCATGGTTCGAAGAGATCACAGAGACTGGAGGAGCAGGTGTGGGGGGAAGGTCCGAAGCCAGGGCGACCCCAGGAGCGCGAAGCGGGCCTGAGCCCCCCCCCCCCCCCCCCCCCCCCCCCCCCCCCCGCTCTGCTCCCCAGGCCACTTTCAGCACCACGGAGATGGCGCTGGCGCTGAACCGCTACCTGTGCCTGGCGGTGCTGCCGCTCATCACCAAGTGTGCGCCGCTCTTCGCGGGGACCGAGCACCGCGCCATCATGGTGGACTCCATGCTTCACACGGTGTACCGCCTGTCCCGCGGCCGCTCGCTCACCAAGGCGCAGCGCGACGTCATCGAGGAATGTCTCATGTCTCTCTGCAGGTGGGGCGGGGCCGGGGGCGGGGGCGGGGCCGCGGGGGGCGGCCGGCCTGGGGGCGAGACCCCCACCGCCCCGCGCCTGTCTCCGCAGGTACATCCGCCCGTCCATGCTGCAGCACCTGCTAAGGCGCCTGGTGTTCGACGTGCCCATCCTTAACGAGTTCGCCAAGATGCCGCTCAAGGTGAGGGTTGAGCCCTCTCCGGCGTGCGCCGCCCTCGGGCCGCCTCGGGGCTCTTCTGTGACGCACCGCCCGGCCCCGTTAACCTGCCAAGCGAGGGCGGCGTCCCCACGGAAACCTCTGAGGCGGTCTCATTGCCGTACTAGGATTTCCAGGACGGTCGCTTGGCGTCGTCGGTGCCTCTTACGCTCCCTAGTTAGCGTTTAATTTGCCTAACAGTGAGCCAGTCCTCGCCTAGATTAGCACGTCTTTGCATGAGCACACCGCTTTTCCTAATCAGCGCGCTTACTCTCACGCCCAGACCACCAGCCTTACGCTTTTCCAACGAGTGCATTCATCTGAATACATAGCACCACAGCTATTCTGAATATTCGCACTCTTTCCTGTTAGTTTTTTCGTTTGCATGCTGGTTTGCATAAGGAGACACCCCTTGTCTGGACTGATTTACATAATACATTTACATAATACATCTAAATCAACCCCCAACCTGCCTATTGGATGTGGAGGTCCTCTTCCCAATTACCATATATTTGCATGGGGCTCTGCATGTATTTGCCCGCCATGGTAATTCACAGAAGCGCAGATCACTCTGTCCATACGTCCATTTGCACACAACCCTACCCGTGGATTAATCTTAACATACTTGCATAAAACGACACCAGACAAATCCGGCCCTGGCCCAATGCCTATCCTGACTCCACGTTAGAGCGCTTAATTTGCATCATAAACGGCCCCAGACCACTCCCCAATAAGCACTTTCCCTTAGTACCTGCATGACCCACGTCCCCTTCATAATCTAAAAGCCCCCGGCCTCCTTGGCTTGGCTTTTGCCGGCCACCTACTACACGCCCCTCATTTGTGTGTCGCCCTCTTGCTCCCACCCAGCTCCTCACCAACCACTATGAGCGCTGCTGGAAGTATTACTGCCTCCCCACAGGCTGGGCTAGCTTCGGGGTCACCTCAGAGGAAGAGCTGCACCTCACCCGTAAACTCTTCTGGGGCATCTTTGACTCACTGGCCCACAAGGTCCGGGCACGTGGGGGGGGCGCCGAAAGGAGCCTGCTTGGAGGGCTTGGGGGCCAAAGTGGGGGGGGGG